TCCAATCTCATCCCAAATTCAACATCGCAACATCAAGTCGTGCCTTCCTTTGGTGGTTGGTAAGCCTTGGAGCCCTCTTCATTGCTACTCTGACAGTGCTGCTGTTCTTTTCACAGCTCTTCATTCAGTAGTTTTGGACACCAATAGACCCAACTCTGATAAAACTTTGTTCAACGACAAGGTTTTGTCCGAAATAGAATAGCTCTTAGCATTTTCCTTTCGTCGTCCGCGGTTAGCTTGCGCGGGCATCCTGTCCTAGTGGAGACTCTGTACTCTCCGAAAATCTAAAACGGAGCTGAGGGATTTCACGATTCTCCTCCTAATTGTCCTCCTACTGAACCCTGTATTACGGATATTTCGATTTTTGCTTTTTCTCCTAGATAAAGATGAACTCCGCAAGGAAAAGTGCATATTGCGTCCAAACATATTGCGACACATTCTCTCCTATACAAATCCCTCCCAGTGCAAATTCTGCTGCGCTAGATTTCGAAACCTTCGTGCTGACGGAAGTGATCCTATACTTATGAAACGGCGAAAAATCGAAAATAATCCATATAAGTGTTAATATGTATATTAGGTTGATGCAAAATTATCGCGGATTTTTTCGCGGCTTTTTTCTCACGATAGAATTTGAATATTGGAATCGGGCCTTTTCTAGAAATGATCTACTTGATTTCCTCTACAAAAATGTACCTAGAAAATCATCCGCATATTCGCGAAATTACTTCTACTTTTTCGAGAAATGTTGGAAGAAGACAGAGTCATTCCGCGATCTTGGTAACTTTTCTGCGATGGAACAACGAGCCAAAGCCAACCAAGAAAAGGGATTTGCTCCTAAATCTGCCATATTCACCAGCAGGAACTGCTATGTATTATCTCGTAAACCGTTCGCTGAAAAAATGGCTAGGGAATAGAACTTACGTCGATTTGGATGACTTCATGACCGATGTCAACGCGTTGATTGCCCCCAAGGATCAAAACTTCTTCGCCTTCGGAATCCGACTATCTAGCCTATGGGAAGCAATGCTTGACGTGGATGAAAGAGAAGTTCCGGAGTAATTATGTGAACATGTTCTTGTTCAGTATATTTGTCGTTTCATTAAATAAAATTTGTTTTAAAAAAAGTTACTGAGATCGCGGAATGACTCTGCCGCCTTCACACATTTCTCGAAGCAGTAGAGCCTAATTTCGCGAAAATACGAATGGCTTTCTAGGTACCCTTTTGTAGAGGAAATCAAGTAGATCATTTCTAGTAAAAACCCGAACTCGATATCCAAATTCTATCGGGAGAAAAAGAACCGCGAAAAAATCCGCAATAATTATGCATCAACCTAATAAAAGTTGAGCTAACAAAAGCATGTAAAGGTTATCGAAGGTGGTGAATCTAATGGTGGCGCTAGAAATATATGTGCTTAGCTGCTTTTCCTGTGTATACCAAGTTCGAGGATGGTCTTTTACTTATGAAATGCACTGTAGTATAATAACCCTATTCCTAAGTTTCTTCCGAAGTGGAAGAAGGCAATCCATCCGTGGATTCTCTGTAAATCAAACTAAGCGACTGTGTTTACTTAATCTACAACTACTCTCCAACGAAGTCCACATTCCAGTAAGTTACCTTCAAATCTGTGAACTTCCATGAATGGATCAGTGAATGGGATTGCTTCATGCCTATCGTTAACAAAATAAATCCATAGTCATTATTAATGGTTTGATTTACAACTCCAATGTTTGAGAGCTTGGTTTATGTATGTCTACGAATCCCCAGATACAAAGCTTTATATGCATTTTCTCGCCATTAATTACTGTGGAGGTGCTGTCCTTCGTCTTCTCCTTCTCCCTAGCGTTATTCCCGCGCCGTAGCAGGGTTCGCTGTTCTTGTCATCAGTCTCCATTTCATTCTATCTACGGAATCTTCTGCCGTCACCTTGGCTTCGGCAAGGTCCTTCTTGATCGTGTCCCGCCGTACATGAGGACTTACTGGACAAATGAAGATGTTTGCTTTCTGTATTATCAAAGTGATGCTGGAAAGTTATGATTATGGCCATGATCTGTAACCACCGATGATATATGAATTTTGGACCCCTCTGGTTCCCGTCTGCATTCGCGTCCACTATTCCATTTCTCCTGATCATGTTCTTGTTCTTTTTCGTCATAATTATTAATTTTTCTTTTCTCATTAAACTAAAGAATTTATAAAGATTTATTTCCGTTGAGGGACGATGAGCATTGCAAAACGTGCGACAATAAATGGTAAGCATATTGAACCCTGCATATCGCCTCTCAGTCGAAGCTCTGCAAAAAGCTAACGAATAGAAAGAAACTAGAGGCTTTCTAGACATAAATTGTTAGGAAACTTCAAGCCTAATCTGGACATAAATTGTTAGGAAACTTCAAGCCTAATGGATCTAATACCTTACCTTGACATGGAGAAAGTCGCTTTGCAGCATTCATTTGAAACCCCAAATATCCCTGGAATTTTCGAGACCCATTTGCCGTCTAACTCTAACTGATCTGATACCTTACCTCGACATGGAGAAAGTCGCTTTGGAGCATTCATTTGAAACCCCAAATACTCCTGGAGTTTTCGAGTCCCATTTGCCGTCTAACTCTGTGCAGGGATTGTCTTCTAGGGGACGTTACTCGATGTTGTTGCGGTTTTGGATGGGATCCGTGTGGTCCATTTTTACCCATGACTTCTTTCATAGAGGAATCATAAACATTGAAAACCTGGAGAACGCCAATCATTTCGAACATCTTCGTCGAAACTCTGCTATACTTATGAGCAGGTGCCTTACGACCGTTAAGGGAGAGTTATTCTTACCGATGGGTGCTCCGCCCTCAACTTTTCCATGGCCTTTATCATCTGGGACATCGTCTGGTTCTCGTTCTCCATTGTTTTGGTGAAATTTTCAACAGCTTCCGGTGAAGCGTCAACCAGTTTGGCTACTTTCTTATTCATTTCTGCCACGTCTTTGCCGATTTGACTGAAGAAAGTTGTCACTTCGCTCTGAAATATATTGAATTTCATGATGGGTGAAGGTTTTGTTGGCACAGGCCTCTCCACTTACCGTAAGATTGTTTTCCTCTGCCCAGGCCTTGATTTCTTCCTTCTGCTCAGCTATCGTCAACGTTTTGTTGACAAAGATTTTATGGTAGTCAAGTCGGGCCTCCAGGCTCACATTCTTCAGGAACGGTGGATGAAACATTTTCATAAAATAGTAAGGGAGATGGGCCGCTGTGACAGCGAAGAAGCAGAATGAAATGAGACGTCTCATTCTGAAAAGCATTCTCCATGAGTGAAATCCCCTCAAACACACAGAATAATGGATGAATGGAAAACATGGGAATCGAGAATCTCGACTTTTGCTCACTCAAAAAAAGGAGCTCTGGTGAGGAGATCTACGTTCTACGTAGTTGAGATCCTTTGAATCACTGAATAGAGATAACGGATTGATCGGAAAATCTCAATTTCAACTTCTCAAATAAGAAGCTTCAGTGAGGAAACTACAGGAGCTGCTGTGCCATCTCATCGTCAGTCGGCCTTATATCCTGTATCCCGCTCATCTAAAGCATTAAAGGGTATTTCAGTTGAACATGTGCAAATATCCCATAACTAATCTAAACTTTTCGAATGGCTTTTGAAGCATGTCGTTTCATTTGTCATCACGTAAATTTGACAAAACTTCCATTTGCCCAAATAAAGTTGTTTTTTCTGATTTTATAGGTGAAGCTGAAGAGTAAATAGAAGTTTACTGCTTGTGGAGCCTAAATGGTGACAGCAAAGAAGAGGAGCAAAGTGAGAAGTTTCATTTGACTGCGGTAGTTGCTTCTAGCATTCGTTCCTTTCGCGAGCCAATACATACTAATGTTGAAAGACCCTGCTCGCCTGGAGAGCTTGGACCCGACTATTCCTTTTGTTTGGAATCATGTTGAATAAGTCAGTTCATCGAGCAGACTGCCGTTTTCTTTTGATCACTTAAAGTCCCTATGGAAACAGTCAAAATCTACATAAAATCGTTCACGGTCTGACTGATCGTCGGCTTTCACTGGTGGCACCAAAAGATAGGGTTGCTAAGGTCATCGCTTCCAACAGGCGGTTGTATGAGAGGAGCTCGACCATAGTGGCTCTTGCAACCATTCGATGATATAACGTTATTCGAAAACCGTAAGCCGTCCAAGAGAAGGAAGTCGACCTCCGGGACAGTAGTGTTTTATTCCTCTATTAATGAATACTTGTTGTCAAAAGACTAAAAGGGATACAATTTGCTTGGCTTTAACTCTTCCCGAAACTTCAGGCACGTCTGGGACCAAACGCATTCTAGGAACGAAATGGTCGCGTCGCGGTGAGAGGGGCGTCGCGCGCGAAGGAATGTAGCAATATGCAGCAGTAGGTAAGAAACACAAGAACAGAAGTACTAATAGTAGAATTATGCATAAAATAATGATCGTATATCGATTGAGCTGTATGAAGAATGCTAGAACTGCAATAAGGGCGAATGAGTGGTCCGAGACAGCCGCGTGCGGCGAATCGATTACCCGAAATCGTTCCTAACGCCCGTCTCGCTCTTTTCAGCATTCCTAGGTGTACCGTACATGAGGATTTGCTGGATGAGCAAGGGTTTTTCTTACCTGTACTGCCGAAAGTCAATGGCGAGTTAGATTCCAGTCACGCACGCTGACCACTAGTAATCAATGATATTATTGGGACCCCCTCTACTTCATTTCTCATGAGTCTCTTCTTCTTACTTCTCAAACGTTATTACTAGTTTTTCTCAACAGACTAGATGAGTTTATAAAGATTCATTTCCATTGAGAGACGATAAGTTTTGACCAATTGTATGAGAAGGGATAGTCAAAGCACGTTGAACCTTGCATGTCGCCTCTCAGTCGGAGCTCTGCAAAACGAAAGCAATCAAAAAGGATCTTTAGGCTTTTTGGAAATAAAATGTTAGCAACCTCAAACGCCTCACAGCTTTGATACCTCCTTACCTTTGCAGTATTCATTTGAAACCCCAAATGCTCCTGGAATTTTCAAGTCCCATTTGCCGTCTAACTCTGTGAGAGACTTGTCTTCTAGGGATTCTAGGGATCGGGTATCGTAGTTCTTGCGATTTTGCATCGGATCCGCTTGGTTCATTTTCACCCATGACTTCTTTCATAGCGGTATCCAACACACGGAAGACCTGAAAAACACCGATCATCTCGAACGTCTTCGAAGAAACTCTGCTATACTCATGAACGACCGTTAAGGAGGGTATCATTCTTACCGATGGGTGCTCCGCCTTTAGTTTTTCCATGGCCTCCGACATCTGAGACATCGTCTGATGCTCGTTCTTCAGTATTTTAGTGAGATTTCTGAAGGCTACTGGTAAAGCGTGAATCAATTTGGTCACATTCTTATTCATTTTTTCCACGCCTTCGCCGATTTGACTGAAGAAACTCGTGACTTCCTTCTGGAATATATGGAATTTCGTGTAGGGTGAAGATTTTGTTGGCACTGGCATCTTCACATACCGTAAGATGGTTTTCCTCTGCCCAGGCCCTGAGTTCCTTCTTCTGCTCAGTTATTGTCAACGTTTTGTTGAAGAGGATATCGTAGTACTCGTGTTGAGCGTCCCAGCTCGCATCGTTAATGAATGGTGGATGGAACATTTCCATAAAATAGTAAGAGAGATGGGCTGCTGTGACAGCGAAGAGGCCGAGTGAAATGAGAAATTTCATCCTGAAAACTATTTCATATGAGATCTTTTAAACCCAAAATTAATGAGAACAGGTTTATCGGCGAATTTCGGCTTTTGCTTCGACCTGAAATTTCAAGCAATGAACTTTCCACAACAACTTGAACGACGCTGACTTTATGTATTCATCACACCTCAGCACAATACACATCTTTTATGCTCTCGTCAAAGGGGAAGGAGCAAAAGGATCCAAGAGTCAAACATGGCCCTCTTTCCTCGATACTCGTTAGGGCTCCCCATGCCTTCTGCTCAGCTTCGGATTCAGTTCGTTCATCATGTTGAACTTCTACCCAGGCACAC